CTACAGAGCATCTTCCCAGTGAGCCATGGAATAGTAAGACACAATTTACCAATCTTCATAACATGGAAGAAGCACAATTGAGTTGACATTGGGTTTGACATACCAKAGGTGGAAAAATCTTCTCAGCCGCTCGACGTGGTACAGAAAATCCACCATGGGTGCTTGTGTCACTAGCCGTAAGAGTTTTACAGAAGAATTCAGCAGGCTGCCTGTTTTGCTTCAGACCCATATCAGATATAAGTAATGCTTCCTGGTCATACTGCACAATTGATGTTCAATATACACATTTAGATATCTTGAAATGTCAGCATGTAAAAACGATAAAGAAAACATGATGATATCTAGCCATAACTAGAGACGACCAGCTGACATACTTTATTTACAGGTTGAAGGGTCATCTGTGCATAGACTTCATCGGTTTCAGCATCAGCCTAATCCAAAGTAACAAAAGTAGGAGATGAGCATCCTTCTCACATAGTCATGTTCAAAAGTACCGAGTATTTATTCATGAATGGATGTCTATTTCTGAACACAAGGGAAGTATGTAGAATGTAATACATGCAGAGCGACATTATGAAGCATGCAGATCAGCTTGGAAGGAAGATTAGGATAGCTTGGGATGTTTTCCGTATCCTTGTTCATCGATGMTGCAACCTTAAAATAGTTGTCAAAGGAACTTTTATCAGTAAACADAATACAGATATTCTCATAGACGCATCACCAGGGGAATCTTACTTGCTCGCTGTGACCTTGTGGAAAATAAACCACAAGACTTGCGATAGGAGGCAACGAGACTAAAGGACCAGCACAAGCATGCCATAGCTCTGAATTCATTACCTTCCTTGCACCTGATATTATCCATACAAAAACGCATTACACTAGACGAAACGCTGACAATATCTCTCAACTTTTACAAATTAATAATTGTTTGTGTTCATGCTATCAATTTTCTATTTGAAATGTCTGGTCACAGTAAACTCAAACTTGGTAACAAAAATACCAAGTAAAAGAACAAGGTTCAAAGTTGGAATCTTTCCATGACAGTTATAGTGGGCATTGCAAGCAATGTGATATTAGGGAATGTTTTTCAACTGTTTCTGAAAAAAAAAAGGAATGCTGTGAGCTGGAAAAAATGTGATGGCTTGAAACACATGAGGACAAGTCATAAATATGAACATGCTTGTAGAAGTAGCAATCATGGATGACCTCGATTTGGCCTAAAGATAAAATCAACTAAAACATGACAGAGCTCTGCTAATCTAACACCCAAACTGGAATATTTCTTCCTCTTTGTGAAAGAAGCAGTCTCTATGAAACAAAGATTGATCTGCTTGCCTTCAATACCTGTTCTTAATTAACTCCAAAGGAAGTTACTGCTGTTCCCTGTGAAACATAGAAGCTTGACTCATAAATCAGTGTCAGAGTTATATGCTAAACAACTGTGACATCGGAGGGTAATAGTGACTAGAAAAAGGATGTGAATGAAATCAAGACATGTAAAAAGAAACTAGTTGTAAAAGAATGATAAGTTAATGGTTTTTAAGGATCTATGTAACGAGAGAAGTAATAAGAAGAGGAAAGAATGATAGAGATGGAGACCTTCTGCTCCTCCGGAACTGGGTTGATAAGCATTGGAGGGAGGTTTCATATTGAGATGGCAAAAGCAACCATAGAGATAGAGTTTCACCGCTACTAATAAACTTTCCTTTCCTTGAAGAAAAGAGCAAGACTCGACTCAAGAATGACAACTGAGTGCAAAGAAAGCGGTCTTGCTTTATAAACATAACATTTCTTTTATTCTTGATTACTTATCTTAGAGTAAAGTTGGTTAAAAGTTGTTTTTTTCCTAAATTTTATTTTCAACAGCTCTCTCTTAAAAGATCAATGAATGCTCGGCAACACCAAACAAAATCAACTTTCGATTATCTTCCTAAATGTTGTACAATTAAAAAAAAAAAAAAGACATTAAGGGGGTGTTTGGGAAAACAACTTATTGACTTATTCCGGTGTGGCATCGGTAATAAGCACTTTTGAGTGTTTGGGTAAACAATTTATACCGGTGTCAAACCGATAATAAGGAGTTTTTTAAGAAGTTAAACACTTCTGACTTATCATAAGTTAATAAGTGCTTTTGTAGAAAAGTCATAAGTTGTTTCAGATAAGCAATCCCAAACACCCCCTAATTAAACTAATATGATTATGTTTGTTTAGAATTGGATGAATGATTGTATTGTAAGTGAATTCTTCAAAGTTCCCTAAAAAGCAAACAAAAGTCTATTATTTAATCAATTAATGAAGCTATGGAATAAGACTAATAATTTATTAGCATGATATTATTGGTAACAAACACTTAATTATTGCCCCAGGACCACTATCTACTTAATTATTCCAACATCTTATTCTTTTTTCTTTTCTTTTCTTTTCTTTTCTTTTAAAATAATAATGTTTCATTTAATACAATCTAGTTGTTAAAAATATGTAACATGTTTCTTTATTTTAAAAAAAAAATTATTACAAAAATAAATAACATTATTTGTGTCGTAATTATCATTATCAAAAATGGCTATTATCAACTGCTTTCATAATATTTCACACATACTCTATGTATATTTGTGATTATAACATACAATATTATATTAAAAGTTTAATTGCATATAATTATTGTTTATTTCATTCCGGTTTCTAAAAAATATACATATTAAAATGGCTGCAATTACAATTTTATATATGTTCCAACTGATTTTGCTAATATAAAAAATAAAGGATTTTGGTTTTATTATTAATGATTAGGATTTAGTAGATGAAAAAACATATTCATATCATATGTGAGATAAAGTCTAAAAGAGTTGACATAATTACTTATAATAGATATTATACATATAAAAGTCGGTATTTAAAATTTGGTCATGATTGCTGTTTCCACTATTATCAACACCTTACATACCTTCATTTAATTACAAAATCCTTTCTTTTAAAACCATCGAAACTCACTCTCTTCATTTTCATTGAAATTATATATATATATATATATATATATATAGAGAGAGAGAGAGAGAGAGAGAGGGCAATTGCTCATTTTCATTAAAATTCCATTAATTGAATTTTTTATCTAATGGATCTTCTACTAACTTTGTTTGACATGACAGCTAATAAAATACAGTAACTTCCACATATACGGATTTGTTAAAATTACAATCATAGTAATAAATAAATATTTGTGAAATGCAAGTAGATGCAAATGAATGAAGGATTCTGCTATGACTTTCTCACCAAAAAAAATTCAACCTCATGTATATGCAAACCGCAATAGAAATACAGTTTTCAACCACACTTGTGTGTATATATATACGTATATATAGGGGAGCGATCAAATGCAAACCACTCAATTTGTACAAACCATGCAAACCGCATTCAACCAATCATAATTTTTCATTTTGTTCATTTTTTTGTAATTATGAGAGGTTGATTAATCATTTTTATTGTGGAGGGTGTTAATCATAGATATTATCATCTTCATTATTTTAATTTTAGAGAAATACATGAAACAGTTTCATTAATGTTAGAGAAATACATGAAACAGTTTCATTAAGTATTATATGAAACAATTTCACAACCATATATGAAACAACTTCATCAAAAAAAGTATTATATGAAACAATTTCACAAGATTAAACAATTTCATGAAAAAATTTCATAAGATTAAACAATGAAATCGACAGATGAAGGTGGTTTGCACGGTTTACACAAATGAGGGCGGTTTTCATATGATCACTCTTATATATATATATATATATATATATATATATATATATATATATATATATATAATAGAGAAAATTAAGCGTGGGGTGGGGTTTCATTCATTTATGAGGCAGCCAAAGGAGGGTGTGTGGGGAAGGATTAAAACGACATTTTAACATAAAATTAATTAATCATCTACTATACATCCCTATATAATAAATTAAATATAAATTCCCTCATTTTTCCTTTTTTTTCCCTCTAACAAATATATATATATATATATATATATATATATATATATATATATAATCTTCACCTACACTACACATGGGAATCTAAATCATTACATTTCTCTAACCATAATAGTAATTTTGTTTTACAGAAGATATATATAACTGATCATGATGACATGAGGTTCTTCCAATCCTTTGGTGTCATTCTCTTTGTTAAATTTGTCAAAATCCAATCCTGTTGAATTATTGGGTTTTAGAAAAAGCCATATACAATTAATTCTGGTTCTGGACCCTACTGTTATTGATTCCGACTGGCCCCTCCTTAATTACTGGGCCCCACCCAGGTGATGTTTATGTTTAAACTAACATGCATGCATACATACCCTTCATACCTACGTGGCTCAACACCCACCTCATCACCATCACCCTCACATTTCAAAACCATCCATCCTATCCTTTCTGCATTTCATCTTCCATTCCATTCCTCTCTTACTCTTCTCTCTCACCTTATATCTTCATACACACAGATTCTAAAGGATAAAAGAACAACACTCCACAATTGACAACAACCATCCAAATATAAATCAGTAATAATAAGCAAACTTACTTGATACATGTTTCTGGACTTGAACAAATACCTCAACTTCTGGAAGAAAAACATCAATACTTTCTTCACATGGTGCTTTAGACCATAAAACACCAAACCATCTACAACTTTTGAGCAGCCGATATGATCTATTAACATTACACCACGTTTCTCCAGCTTCAACACGTTGCAATAACAGAAATTCCCCCCTATTGGCCAACTCCCCACTTCTTCCAACCCTGCAAATCCCAGATCAAATCTAGTCTTAGTATTGCACAACTTAGAGGAAGAAAATCACATAGTAGCTAATGTTTATACCCATCTGACAATCATCTGCATCAGATAGTATTGCACAACATAGAGGAAGAAAATCACATAAAGGTTATATATGTATTTACTGAACATGCCTCTCAAAGGCCAACAATGTGTTTATAGGAACAAATCACTATTTACCAACTACACCCACTTGTCTAACTTTAACCGTTAACTAACTTCACCGTCTTTAACTAACTCCTTGTATAAAAATATACAAGTCTAATACTCCTCATCAAGATGGACCATAAAAGATGTCTTGAAGAACCATCTTGGATATATAGGCATAATCTTTGAGCATAACAAAGGCTTAGTTAGGACTTGGGATGTTGGCCAAATTAAATTAGCTAACTTATAGGCATGAGTTTGATTGTCTGATCAACAACTTTGTCGCAAATAAAATGGCAGTCTATTTCAATGTGTTCGGTATGTTTGTTAAAAATTGGGTTTTTAGCTATCTGGATCGCAGATGCATTATCAAAACAGCAAAGCAGGAGGATAAATCAACACCAAAAATCCTTTAAGAGTGGTCGTCGTGATGGCACCATACTCCGCCACAGTTGAAGACCTAGAAACGATAGATTGTTTCTTGGATTTCCATGAAATCAGATAGTCCCCAAGAAAGATGCAAAAACCAGTAATTGATTTACATATGTCCGAGTCTCCGATCATAAGGAGTCACTGAAGGCTTTAAGTTGCAAGGAGTTGTGAAAACAATCCTTGGACTAGACTCGACTTGATGTACTTTAACAATTGATCATCAGCTTGTATATGACTATATGAGGGCTTGTCATCAAGACATTAACTGGCTAAGCCTGTGAACTGAGTAGGCTATATCAGGTCTTGTAATCATAAGATATATCAATCTTCCAACAAGCCTCCTACACTCAGCTGGATCATCAAGCAACTCCCCTTCTGGGCTGGATAACTTTGACTTAGGATCCATAGGCCATGAAGTAGGCTTAGCACCAAGCAAACCAGAATCTTCAAGAAGTTCATGGGCCTATCTTCTTTGAGAGACAGAATACCTTCTTTGGACCATGCAACCTCAAGGCCTAAGAAGTGCTGAAGCTGCCCCAAGTCTTTTAGTTTTTAAATGATCATCAATGCAGTTCTTAATTGCATTAATTTCCTTGATCGTCGCGAAGACGCCCCTGTTACAACAAAGTTGTCTACATATAAAAGTAATGCAACATAGGTTGAGCCACTCCTTTGGAGAAACAAAGAATAATCAACCTCAGATTGACAAAATCCTTGTGTCAGCAGGAATGCTGAGAACTTTGCATACCACTGCCAGGAGACTGGCCATAAACAGTAGGACTTTTTAAGCTTGTACACCATTGGATTCTTGGAAGAACTATCCCCTCAAACTGATAACCTTTAGGGACTTCAATATAATTTTTTTTATCAAGGTCACCATTTAAATAACATTTGTTTACATCTACTTGTAACAATGGCCATGGCATCTATGCAGCAAGAGAAAGCTAATATATCTTCACGGTTATTATTAACTTAGCAGCAGGTGCATAACTGTCGAGAAAATCTATCCCCTCTTGTTGATTGAACCTTTTGCCACAAGCCTTGCCTTGTACCCTTCAATCATTCCATAACCTCTTCTCTTTATTTTATAGACCAACGACATCCAAACTAGATCCCAAGTGTTATTAAGTTGCGATGCTGATGCTTGTAATTCATCTTGCATAGCTTCTTGCCATTCCTTTCATTATAAGTTGAAGGCTTAAATTGTGATTAGAAAGCCAAAATGCAAGCTTTATGGTTGATGTCAAGATTGATGAGAGTGTTGTTTGAAAAGTTTCTTTGGGCTTCAGGAATCAACAGCTGATCAGTATATTTAGTTAACATATCATTGACCGAGTTTGTCCAAAGCAAAGCACCAATGGAAGCATGCAAGCACAAGCACTTGAAAATATTTGTCTCATTGTGCTACCTTCATGTGCCATCTGTTATAAGAGGCAACTTAATGAAAGAGCTGGGAAAGGTGCTCTTGTTGGGGTATGCAATAGAGTCAAAAGCAATTGAAAAAGGTTAACCTATTCGGGAATCTCCGGATCTATGCTTATTTTCAACTCCCCGAATCCCCAAATATTCAGACAATAAAAAGAAAAAGGAAAAAATTGAGATAACCCCTTTGACATCTCTTCATCTACAATTAATTCTCGATGTGAAAACAGGCTACAAAATTATAGCATTAGTAGAATGAAAATTGTGATAAATAGAGATGTGGACTTCGATGGGAACTCCTACTGAAACTGGGACTTGAAATAAGTCCATCAAACCACTCCAACCGGTAAAAGAACCTACAAATAGTGAAGACCCACTTAAGGTAGAAGCAACTACAAACACAAGGGTGCTTAAAATGGTCATTATCTAATGTGTATGACCATCCCTTTATATGATATCCAATTTTTCAGGCCGTCACCTAAGATAAACATAGCGATGAATCATAAAATGATCCAATCTTAAGGTCGAAACCTTACATTGGAGAGGAAACGTCTTAACAATAATCACCCCCAGTCACTCCTTAAAACGTACAAGGAGAGCTTCAACTTTTTTGGCTAATTTTCCTATTCTTAGATCTCCTCCTTCACTTTTGAACGTTATGAGATATGTGGTAACGAGATACATGCATAATTTTTATAACAAGCATAATATCATCATCAAAAATATTGTGCAAGATGTAATCATTATACATAATATACATCGCATGCCATAAAATCATTCTCATGTTAGAGATCTCCCTTTCCATGGTGTGTACCATGGTGTTTTGGTAATTTATCACTTTTGTATGATGACTTTGAAGTTATATTTAGCAAAAGAAACAAACGGATTTCAATTCTTTTCACATGTTTCATTCCAATTCCTGCCAACCAAACATGATTAAATTTCATTCTATTTCCTTCAAATTTAAATACCTTTGATAGATTCCATTTTGTGAACCAAACGCCTTTGTGTATTCATACTTAATGCCTAGACTTTCTTATATATGGATCCAACTCCTGTATACACTGGGATAGGTTCATATTTGTCCAAGAAGTTCCATCATTCATATTATCTGCAAATCAACCTTCATTTGTATCATATACGAACTGGTCTTATTATTCCAATACTTTGTTTCTTGTATTCAGGAACAGCCCCCGAACACATTAAATGTAATTCTAAATGCTACTTGTAATAATTTGTTTAATAAAACACAATGATATCAACTCGTGTATTTTTTACGAAATAATAGTCAAATTACGTTTGATAACATAATTACTTTCGTAATATAAAAATCTTGAAGTTCATACAAAATGCTTATCCTGGAACTTAATTACTAATTATCTCAAATAAATCAGTTTGTAGCTTAAGATAATAATATTTAGCGGAGAAAAAATTCCTTAAAACAACCATAAATGAAAATATTTAAAAGTGCAGGGACCAAGATTGTCAATAGCTCAAAGTTGCAGTTGCAACCAGATTAGGCCGTCCTCTTCCCCAACCCAAATCACTCTGCGACTCACTTGAGGTCGACGGTCACCGGTCGATTCTTGACCGTTTTTATCCAAACTTGTTTATGTGATTCCATAAGTATATGTGTCTGCTACATTTTGTTTACTTGACGTGTTTTGGACCAATTTTGCATTTTAAGTTTATGATTTAACGATTATCGTTTTTCTTTCATTCAACCTCCAAATTGGAAGCTCTAACGACTAGTATAAACGCATAAAAGCTACATCATTATCTCAGGAACATTAAATCAATCAAAATCATACAAAGATTTCAAAGAAAAGTGGAGTATTGATACCTAATTCGAGGTTTGAACGGAACCCTGACTAGTTGGACAATTTCTCAGCTTGAATTCAAGATTTCTTTAGTTGTTGCCCTGAAGAAACATATAGAATGAAAGAATTCATAAGTTGTTTTGAAGGAAAAACCTAGATTCATCTTTTGCTCACGTTTCTATGTCAAATAGGTTATGGTTGTAGTTCCAGAGATGAACATTATAATTAGTGAAAAGCTATAAACAACAATTATCTGAATTTGAATTTGGAAACTATCGTGCTGAAATTTTCAAAATCGAAGGTGTATTTCAATTATGAGGAAGAACAAATATGTTAAATTCGAAATCTTTTTAGTGGGGTGTGTTTTGGGATGGTTTATAAAAACAAATTATTAACTTATTCTAATAAGACATCGGTAATAATTAACTTATTTTAATAAGACACCGGTAATAATTAACTTATTCTAATAAGACACCGGTAATAATTAACTTACTCTAATAAGACACCGATAATAAGCAATTGTGAGTATTTGGATAAACATGTAATAATTTTTTTTTTTAAAAGTTAAACCATTCTAAGTTATAATAATTTGATAAACATTTTTATAGAAAAACATAACTTGTTTCAAATAAGCAATCCCAAACACCCCCTTAAAAGATTATTGTTCATCTCCTGAAATATTTTATATTTTAAAAATTACATATTTAATTATATTATCGAAATATTTAATATAACTTATAATTACATAAAATATTATTTCAAATAATCTTACCGATAGAATGAATAAAAGTCATTGCTCTTTCATAAGTAATCAGTTTTAGAGAAATCTATAAATTTAGAAAATTTCATCTCTCTCGCGCTTTCTCCATTTTAAAGAAGGCTTTAGAGAATCCGGCTGAAATAAAAATCCTCAAAATCTCCGCTTGAAGAATCTGTTGGAGATGTTTTAAGAGATTCATCTTTTTTGGGAGATTGTTGTTTTTAATCCTTACAATACATCCGCATACATACATTATGATAGGAACTAGAGACAATATAAACAATTAGATCGCAGAAAGTTCATTTTTGGAATACAATAATTCGACTCTTATAGGCTTGGTATCACCTCCATATTTGGATAATCTAGTTGAAAACTCTTATCTAAAAGGTTATAAGTATATTTATATGAGAGATTGACGGTTATAAACTGTTAAAACATAATTGTAACAGACAAGATTTGCCAAACTAAAAGAGGATTAAGCACCCCAAAGGGGAACCCAGAAGGAAATCACATAGAAGGAGCAAAGCTACGTACCTCAAATCCATGAACATTGACCCCTGCAGCCTAGGGGGATTTGCTCTCCCTAAATCACTCTTCTTGTACTTCAAATATAATCGAGGCAGGTTATGTTCCCTCAGATTATAGACTAAGCTATTGAGATTCCATTTTGTCCCATGATGAGTTTGCTAAATGAGATGGTCACACGATCATGGTGCCCTTGCCCTTCTCCAATATAATACTTGACGATGGATGGTACATGGTAGATCTTGACTATATCCCTATGCCAAAACCCATTAACGTTCAGGCTTTTCTTTTAAAGTGGGTGTCGGGTACTATGTTGATATCACCATGAAGTAAGCTATCAATTCAACTTTTGATTGAGTAATGCATCCTTTTTTTTAATCTTTTTTTAAGTTTAGAAAAATTAAAAAGGAACCTTTTTACCTTTTTGATTTTATTTGATCTACCCCTATGATTGATTGTATAGTATTGCCGGATGCCGAGTCCACCAAATAATAAAGTCTAACTAACGACTAGTTACAACCAAAATTATAGTAGTGTAAGTCGGGTTGAATCCACAGAGACTCGGTCTGACGTTGTACGACTAGCGAATCAAGTACACCATGAAAACGTAAAAAATATTAATTATGAGGGTGGGGGGTGTGTTGGATTTGATTAATTACTCTAAACATGCGATAAAATATAAATTCAAACAATTGATTAAAGACCCAACATTGATTCAATACCGATTAAGATGTTAGTGCCTATCATCGATCCCAAAAATGTAAACGGAAAGGACAAGCACAAATTGGTTTTAATCGTTAACAAGCTCTAACGACCCAAATTTTCCATAAATAATCGTTAATTAAAATAAGCTCTCTAAAACTCTTAACCACAAATACAAGTTTAAATAAGCTCTTAAACTCATAGGTGCGATTAGTTTTACCGGATTTGAAAAAGTACCAATTCAAAGCCATAAGCTCATAAGCTCGGCTTACTGAGGCTTAAATCGCGAGATCTCAAATATTCAATCCAGGAACCTTACCAAAACCAAATGAATACTAAAGTTACTCTATCAAAATTTTAAGACGATTACGTATCTAATAATTTTGAATAACCATTCCATAATAGAATTCCAATCAGTTAGTTAAACTAATTGAAAACCCAAATATGATTAACATTAAGTTCAGAAATTAAGCAAATAAGCTTGTTCAAACATGCTTAATGAAATCTCAAAGCAATAACAATCAAAACCTAATTAAATCAATGTTGGAATGAAAAAAAGCTAGCCACTCATGGCAAAACCTAGTTTACAATTGAAAACAAAAATCTAAAAATTACCTAAAACAAGATGAAATTGATGAAACTCCTCTACAAGTCGTCACTTTCTTCTCCTCTTGAAATAGAAAATGCGATTCCCCCCAGTAAGTCCCCCAATTGACTGTTAGAATCGGGTTTTTATACCCCATAGATGAGAAGAAACCGCTTCAATTTCGTAAGAACGTGGAATCAACCCCTGAAATCAGACGTGCGCGGGACATGGTGTGGCTGTGGTCATGGCTCTCCCGACTCTTCTCTCTTGGCTTCTGGTAGATGAAATACGGAGAGGATATGGGCAGCTATTTGGTGCTTGATGAAGTCCACAAGAGATAGGCCAAAACTTGGGATTTTGCTTTTTTTTTTTTCGGCTGGACTCTACAAAATAGAACATAGGTTAAGAAAACACATTTATTCACAAAATGATGAAGATAAATGGCTTCTTAACTTTAATTTTTAACCAAGAACATATAGCTATCAAGTATCTCAAAACAGACAATGCCGAAAAACTTTCTCTCGCTTTTCTATTGAAAAACCAAATGTATATTTTCATCCAAAAAAGCAAATTTTTTTGACAAATGGAAACCATTAACTATTCATTGACTGAAATTGCAAGAAACTACATTTATCTATTCTATATTGTTGTATGGGTTTTTTTCGAGGTGTATGGATGCTCCTTCAAAACAATATATGTCATGCGTTCATGTGGAATATCATCTGGTTATTTGGCCATAGCAAGTTCGAAATGATTAATAATTGTATTGAGTTGTTTCGTACGTTTTATTATCATTATATAGCAATAATTTCATAAGTTTTGTGTCTGGTCTTAGCAGGTTTCATGCATTTTTCCGTACTTTTTGTATTGACTATCTCATCGGCTTTAGAAATCTTCAGGCGTTTCTCTCCTGGTAAGTTTTTATATGAAGTGCTAAGCGAACCTGATGTTCACACCTAAAAATCGAACATATATTAATTTTAGATGTCAATTGTATAATGTCTTACTTTTCATTTGTTTTTCTGATTATATATTCCAACAGTCTAGCATCTGGCAATGTCATAGAATTTGATACTTATGATAATGTGCAGGTGCAAAATTTCATCAAAATTAGACGGGCGTTATACCAGCAAAATTTCATCTGAATACGAAAATTTCAATCTCTTTCTTCATCAAAATTTCATCATCAAACATGGTTTGATTCACTAGATTAGACAGACGTTATACCAGCAAAATTTCTACCTTATGATATTGCGCACGTGCAGGTCTCAATCGATATCGATCAACTACAAGAATCTACTAATCAATTAAGGATTTATGATTGAGTTTCTATTGATTATATGTTGGTTTGTGTAAAACACCGTAGATTTATACACGAATTTTCGATTTTCTACTTCCTCTTCATTCTTATATACACAATTTATTGTTCAAGTGATTGATTACTCCTTACACATTGCTTTTTTGATGTTATTCAATTTGTTGAGATTTTGATGCAAGAAGTATATTTAAACATAATCAGGAGTCATTCAAGATATATATATATATATATATATATATATATGGTTTAAACTATGCTTAATTTTCCTTATTAGAAGTTGGAAAAAGAAGCTAATTATCATTTACTCTTTCTTTCTTTATGAACATGAACATTTGAAAGAAAGAACAAAAGAAAGAAATAGGAACGGAAACTTAAAGAAATGGACAAGCAACAAGCTAGAGTATCTAGGAAAGTTCATTCTGGTCATTTAACAATTTTGTAACACCCTTATTTTTACCATGAGTTGTGTCACGTCATTCTCATTAAATAACAATAAATAACCCCAAAATATACTGGCTAATAAAGCCCTATTACAGCGAAAGTCTTACAAATTCAATTAAAATTAATAGCTCAACGCTAACCCGTCTCATACCGGGTTAAATTACAGAATGAGTTTAAGCATAAACCTAAACATCCTAAATATAATAATATAATTATCTAGAAGAGAACCTCGCTTTTGTCCACCCTTGAATCTCTTGCACCTGAGATGCATACTAATAATCAGCTTTAAAAAGCTTGGTGAGTTCATGGTTTTTGTGCACAATCATACACACCTCATCATACATAAAACAAACAATGCCCCAAATAAAATAATATGCACATTTGTTTCAAATCCTTTTGAAATAATAATGAGATCTCTTAATTTCCCGTCGGGTTAAGGTCTTACCGTCATCGGCACTTTCCCGGGTTACACGGCTATCCCTTGTCCGGTTACCCCTCCCTATGATGTGTCATCCCTTATGACTTTTGACCCATTCCCATATCCGACAAAAATATTAACCCGTTTATAATATGTTAATTAATGTTTAAAAACACGTAAACAAATAGCATGCAACCCACAATAATAATTCATACACATGTAATAAACCCATAAACATGTACATAGAAAATATCGTAATGCTCAAATAATTTGTACATAAGCATGCATCCCAGTTAAAGTCTCATGAAAACTCACCTGAATAGCTCTGTTTAGCTAAACCTCRTCCCTGAGTAATATCCTATAACATATA